ACAGTGCCATCTAGACTGCCAGTGACGACATCCCCCTTTGCATTCACGCACATGCCCGTCACCGCCTTGCTATGCCCAAGTGGACTCTGCCAAACACATACTCACAATATGCACAATGTCAACCACATGTGTTGGTAACAGTATGAAAACTCTGAGGAAATTTTGGAAAATTCTCCTTAGTACACTCTCCTAGTTCCTATATAAACTCAAATGATAAGTAAGGAAAGTATTGACATCAGCTGAGGAAAGCGAACACCTTCCTGCAGCACACATAGCTCTACAATGCTACCTTCTGGACGACCTTCCCAGCGATCAGATCAATAGTCGACACGAATCCCCCACCAGCCACATACAACAACGTTTGGTTTCGAGATAGGCATGCAGCATCAATTGGACTCCCATGAGCGTAGCTGCTAACCTGAGGAGAGGGCATGTTGAGACCAATCTGGGTGGGAAAATGTGCACATGGTCAACCACACATGTTGGTGGTGACAATACGAAAATTCTGAAGAAATTTCGAGAATTTCTCATTGATTCCTATACATTTCTACCGAATTCATACGTAAACTTCGATAACTAGTCCGCAGTTGAGGAAAGCAAACATATTCCTACTCCAACACGGAGGCCAACAGCGAGTAGTCTCACCGGCTCGGGAACCTTATCCTCTCCAGTTTCCATGTCGACGTCCTGCTCCTCCTCTTCAGAGTCTATAGGCTTCCACACGTGAACGAAACCGTCATAACCTGATACGACGCTATTCATCACACTAGAAAATATGCACAAAGTCAAAGTAGATGTGCAGGAGGCAGTATTGAAAAAAATTCTTGTTGGTTTCCGAACACTTCTACTCGAGTTCATGTGTAAACTTCTATATAGTGAAGAAACTACTGAGCTCAGCTGAGGAAAGCGAACATATATTTCAACACTGTATATGAGGGAGTGAATTACCTGCCGTTATGATGGAGCCAGCAGTGGTGGCAAAGACGACTTGAACCGCGTCATCGTGCTTGCCAATGAGACTGCCACCTTCCGAAGCTGTCCTTGTGTCCGAGGATAATGACCATTGGATGACTAATACAATCGCGATGTGAAAGAAGTATGGTATGAAAATTGACTCTACTTTTGCCGTCCTTTCCCGCGCTATAGACAAGCGTTCGATCATGAGAAGCAAAGCACACTGAGTTGGCCGCTCCCTCATGTCCTCCTCTAAATCTTCGCAATATATTCCTCGTGGCCGTAAGGTCGTAAACGTTAATCTAATAACAACTTCCGGAAATAATCTCCCCACCTTAATCGTTCACCCTTCCCGATCCGTCTCCAGCCGCAATAAGCTTCCCATCATTCCTAAACGCCACACACGTTGTGAAGTCCTTATGCTTCGACCACAACATGTCCGCCTTATAGCTCGTAGCGACCGGCTTGTGCCCAACCGGCAACGTAAGCAGCTCTACTCGCGTACCATGAGTGACTACCACCTGCCTCCTATTGACAGGGTTATAAGCAACACTAGTCACACTGGAGCCGCTTGTGCCTACACTCGCCAACAATAAGACTTCCCCTTCATAAACCCGACAACCTACTCTTGGCCTTAAGAGCATGCTTGTATTTCTTATAGAAGGCTTCCTCCTCAGTCTTGACAGCTCTCGCTGCGACGGGGCGAGGGATAGGGGCAAGTTTGGTAAATTCCATCACCCTGACAAGCCGTAGGGTCGCAATCAGCTCCCGTCGTTTTCTAATCGATGCCGAGGCCGAGCGCCCAGACAACGTTGAGAGAACGCAAGATATTGCAAGATTGCAAGATTCATTAGAAGGTTGAGTAGCGTTCCCCCCACTGTTCCCAGTGCCTTATCGTGGCGTGGGGGTTACTGGATGGTGAATTCCAATCAGATCGAAACTGGGATCGAGCTGTTACCGCTCTTTGAGCGAAACTCTTACATCCACACTGTGGATTCCACAGTGGATGTGAGAGTGGGGGGATCGCATCTCTATCGCACTCGTTGAGTGGATGATCCACTCAACGAGTGCGATAGGGGGTGGCCCATAGCTCATGTGCTTCCCCACCGAGGGAGAGGTTCTCACCTCGGTTCCATGGCTGTTGTACTGTGCATTCTGAATCCCTCTGAGAGGGCTGTCATGCCCGATGACTTCGTTTGCATTGAGAGAAGCTTTGGTATTGCATCAACACACTGGGACCCAATACAGCTGATAGTATCAGCCTGATACTATACAAGGAAGACCTACTACTTCGTTAGTGCCTTCAGGTACCCCCTCAAGTGTCGAGCATAAGCTGGTTGCATGCTGGTGAAGTGGCAGTGTGGGTGATGACTCATCGTTGTCGATTTTTTTTCACTCTGTTACTCTCTACTGTACCATTTAGCCCTAGTCGGGAAAGCCCTGGCCAGGGTCGCCTTTTGTCGTATTTGCTAGTGGCATTAGCAAGAGTATGGGCGACTGGCCTCTGGCCCGTAGTGCGCGGCATAAGCTTTGAATTGAATTGAATTGAATTGACTAGCATTCATGAGACCTGACTGAGTGACTACACTAAATAGTGGCAAAGTTGGCAGGCCTTTGCCTAGTACTACTTCCCAATACTCTTCCAATGAATGACCTTCCTAAATCAGGAGTTCTTTCCTGCACCTTGTACAATATCTTCATTCAGCTTAGACCACCTCAATAACCTGGGGTTCTCTCACTATACATTCTATCCTCAAAAAGGTTGCTATGAATGAGTAGCAGGAGTAGCGTCCGTCGAGTAGCCCCAAGGATTAACCACCAGGTTTAGTTGTTGAGAATACGCCTCCACTAACGATGGAAAATACTCAGCTTCGTGCTCAATATCGGAAGTGTTAGGACACATGTGTCACCCCTGTTACTGTGCCACAGTAACACAGTAACTGTGGTAGGCAGGTTGATCTGCATTTGAGTAACAACGTTGAACAATGAGCGTCTGTTGGAGTCTATTCGGCTATGGGAAACTGCATAGTGGTTTCCCGGTTGTCAGGCAGTGGCACAAACCGCACAGTCGGATACAGACTGCAATTGCCTTCAGTATGTTTCAAAATAATGTTGAATCAAGGATAATCCTTTATCCCAAGTTAAATTCCGGAAACGAGACACACGTCGCTCCGCTGCCAAAAAGGGACAGTCGACACACAGCGCACGCGTGCAAGATTGCACCACGTATGCACGCATTAGGAATAGCTTGCAGATCAGAGTGCCGCGTGAATAGTGTTGTCATTTTGCTCAACCCATCCCTCCCACACCGAGCACAAGAGCCGACTTGCTTGAAGACCGCACTTTTCCCATCTTTGATGTCGACGCGACATCCTAGTGGTATCATGGATACCAAGCAGCACTAATCTTGCGAGTGCGGCCTTCAAGCTCGACTCTTCATGGACAAGCCTAGCTTGTCTCCAGACCCACGTGTTTTGAGTGTGGTAATTTAATCAAAATATTTACACAGTGAGTGTAGAGGGATGAATCATTCCGGATGATTTCCCCCCATGAAGAAGTATTGTGTTTGTTTCTGTGTAACTTGTCTCCTTGGCTATTGTTCCGTGTCGCAGTGCATATCTTAGCCTAGCGTTAAGTGAGCCTACTATTGATTATATTGAAAAATAAGTTCTTCCTATAAGTCCTCTAGTTGTGCCGTTCTCTCAATGGGAGATGAGGAAGACATGCCGATCTTCAACAGAAGTAACTCCAACATAAGTGGAATTTTGCGTTTGAATAGCGTCGGAACTCTCCACACTCGCTGGATTTATGAAGGCTACTGTTGGCATCGAATTCGAGTTTACTCGTGGAACAACACAAAACACACACAAAAGAGTTCATCCAACATCCAGTTCATATCAACTGAGGTACATCACATAATAATACTTAGGAAGCGTGCTTCGTGAAGTACAAGGCAAAGATGTCGTGGACTTTAAAATCACTCTCTGAGATCACCAAACGATATAGATCGAAAGAGAACCGTTCTAGAGTTACCAATCATCGTGAAGTTCAAACGTTGAAAGATTTTCCTAGACTTCGAGTTGTCCTTCGCGACAAGAGCCCATACTGCTTCCAGACCAGGCTGCACTTGTCTCACCTGAAGAGACTCTTCTCGCACACCAACCTGAGCGGACAACTTACATCTTCAATTCCTTTCGAGGCTAATGTAGTGCCTATACGTTTCCCTTCTCACCCTTCAGAGACACCAACCCAGACGATATAGGCGATTAAGTGTTCATCGCCTTTCTGGTGCCCAGGTCTGGATAAGACCGTAAATACGCCAAGTCAGTTGGGGAATCTCACATGCGAGCCCTGACAAACTCCTCATCTTCATCAGGAAAAAGCGGAGGAAGTTCAGTGAACATCTCGGCGACAACAGCCTGACAAGCACATAGTGCTTTGGTCGCGGTGGAAACGATACTTTTCCTTGTGACGCCTTCTCCTGCGCAACGCTGCTGTCCACCGCATCGAAGCAGTGATCGTAGGAGCCCGCAGGCCCTTCGAGCCTTGCTTCTTCAACGACTTTTGCCCTCCTATAAATGATATTGGCTGGCGCCTCCTCAGGGCTTCTGTATCGCCCAGTTTCAGAAGCCTTCAAGATGCCCAAAGGTTTAGAAAGAATACGGCGTGAGTCGATCGCCCACAGTAGAGTAATAACGAGTATTGACAAGAAGAAGGAGGTCATTAAATGAATGCACACAACGTGAGAGCAACTGGAAATGCATCGGCCGCTCGAGGACCTGCATCATGCAGGCTGCATGCGGGCGGGCGCTACTAGCGTTGGAGTATCAACACTGATAAAATAGATTGAAAAATCATTCCATCCTGGTTCATGGTTCTCTACAGAGTCAACACTCCTTAGTTCTTTATTGAAGCCCTCTGAAGGAAAAGAGAGAGTACAGTATCCGCCCGATTAACCCCCACCAGAGACCCATATATCCTTGAGAAATAAAGTTCCCCAGGGTTTGATAACAATGGGAAACATGTTTCTAATGCGATGATGACATGTGCATGGGAAACTGATTGAAGAATGCGTTCCTAGCCATTCGTGGAAAAATCAAAATGAGTTCCCCCGGGAGCATTATAGGTTTCTCGATAATTCCCTGACCTCACCGACGACTGTGCTTCCCTCCTCAGAAATTCCCTAAGTCTATCCTCTTCCTCGTCACATTCATCCTCCGAGACTTCCACAAGAATCACTCGCGGATCCTCGTTATCTCCTTTCACCGATGGATCTGCCATAGAGAAAACCACCACTCTTCAGACAAAAGCCATTCACCCTTCTTAGTGGCCTCCACCACGCTGGACCTGAGAACTGCTCTACGTGCAAAGCGATGCGGTCAGTCACCGTTACTTCTCAACCTTCTGGTCAGCCACCTCTTGTGTGATCGTGGCGTTTTCCAAACTGTTCACCATCCTCACAGGAACAGCGAACTTAGCCCAGTTATCAATAGGAGGTGGCACCGGCATGCAGCTCCACGTGTCACCATCATCAGGAAGGGTATCACCTAGTGTTCAAATCCCGCAGCAACCTCAGAAGTCAACTGCCCACTTCCGAGCTCCTTCCTCATCATCTCATCCCCCGGATCGACCGGCATGAATGTCAGATCCACATCAGCCAGCAGGGCCTGGAGGGCAGCGGCGGCTACCATGCATATTCCTACGACTGGCCTACTTCTGCAACCCTCTTCGCGGCGTATTTAACAGCAAGACGATCCCGATGGTGACGGTAGAGTATGTGGCCACCGGCCTCGATGATCAGCTCGACTATCTGCAGTCAGGACCGTACGTGAACACACTGGAGGCAGTGTTGCAGTAGATGGTCGCTCCGCTCGGCTGAGTTCAGGATTTTCCACGCTGATTATAGAAATGACTCAGTTAGAAGTGTAAGGAAGCCATCAGGAATTTTCCCACATTTCCTCGCAATTTCCTCACCAGAACATGCCCTATTTCCCACACCGACTAAGTTAGTGATCCCTGGCACTATGCTAGGGTATCAACTTCCGCGTAAATCACACCTCCGCCGCAGCTTCCTCAGCCTGTTGTGCTTTCAAGGCCGCCGCCTCCTTCTCTTCCTCCGTTAGTTCAATCTGTGCTGTCGGGTCGGTGGTCATAGAAATTATATAATAGGCTCACAATCGGAGAAGTGGGAAGCGACGACGAGCACTCCACCATCACCACCACCACCACTCCTACAGTTCCACTGTAAGAGTGCCCTCCCTTCTCGGCTTTTTGAGCACAGCTAACATCAAGTGCTACGGAGTGATCTTCACCATATCTTATACCAGATTCGTGTACTTGCTTTCTACACGCAATGTCTGTTTTACGAGTCAAATTCAAATTACCAACAACGATTCAGTCCAAAAAAGCGGCAGCCATAGCCGCACTTATGTCGACGATCGTGTCCGACTACACTGGGTTCAACTCTTTAGCTCGATCATGAAGTGCCGGTCCAACGGTGTGAGTGATTTTCGAGATGTGCGCCAAATGACCGTCTCGTTTCCCCCGTCCTCTTATCCGAATTTACTCAATTCGACAGAGCCTGTATAACGCCAAAATGATATCCCCATTGATCACAACATTTGATCACTAGGAGGTTTCAATTCAACCGGCTGAAGACATGAAAATAATTACGGAACACGTAGTTTGCGTAAAGTTATAGACCCTCTAATTCTGCCCGACCGCGAGGTACTACCACTACAGCGCTTCAACTCGACATTCAACCCATTCATTCATTCCTCATTTTTCAGAGTACTCATTTCGTTTACACTCAGGTCCAGATGATACCACTATTTCAACGATCTGGTGCATTTGAACATCGTTACCAACTCCCATAGTATGGGAGTTGGAAGCAGAAGCAGTATGGGACCCATACTGCTTCGTTATGCTGATAACCAGCTCATGCTATCGCTGGCCTCCCCGTGAGCGATACTCGACACAAATATCTTTCATAGTGAGTCAAGTGCGGTCTGTATGAAAAAATTACTATTAGTTAGCCCGACTCGTCTGGTGCCCATGGCGTCTGTCGACGCTTGCGGGCAGAACTGTTCGCGTGGTGTCTC